GGTGTGAGCGCTGAGCTAGCGGCGTGCAGCGCCGTGTTTCCAGAGGCTCTTGCCTGCCGAGTGACTGCAGCGTCGTTGGTGTTTTGTTTTGCGTTAGCAAGCGTCTCCCCGAGGTGGGGTGCAGGTGGAGCTGCCTCAAAACCGGGGGACTTTGTCCATTTCAGCATTGTAGGAATTTCTAAGGAATGAATAGTGCATTTAAAACAAGAAACAATGATGCTTTTGTCTAGTTACGTAAAGTGTCAGCACAGATTAGTGAGATTCTTAGGTTTTTCCATCCTCTGTCCAAATCCCTGAAGCTAAAATTACAACAAGGGAAAACTTTCATTACCAGGGAGCTTGTTTAATGTATTTAAGTTACTTCATGATTCGCTGAAGATGAAACTTGCCCACCTACCTGAAAATCAGAATACAGGAATTATAAGGTATTTGGGGGCTATTTTAGCTCAGCATTTGTTTTCTCACCCTATTTGCTTCCAGTAAAATATCTGGTAAACAATTTATATTCTTAGTGAAGTATATTTTTATCAGTAAGACACACTTCTAAAAGTTAAAGTGTTCTGTTCTGCAGAGTAGTCATAGAAACTATCCTGTTGTGCTGGAAGAGGGATGGTGTTTCTCTGATAACTGCTCACCCCATGTGCTTTAAAATGGCATACTTATGGAAACGTTATTTTGAAAAGTGCAAAGAGAAGTCTGTGGGTTTTTTTTAATAGCACATGAAAACGTGATAAAACATTGCCAAGAAGGATCTTCCCTTATAAACTCCAATAATTAGGTACGTTTGTACTCTGACATGCCAAGTGGTTTTTATCTCCTGTTGGAAAACACTCAATTACAGTTGCATAGTCCAGAAGTTACTGGTAAAAAAATTGGTGATTAATTTCAATAAATGCAATCAAACTTTTGCTAAAGGTTTCCAGACATCATTCTATGATAGCATCTTTCACTTTGTTTTTAGAATTTGCCTTCATAAAGTAGTTGGCATATAAATTCAAAGTAATTTAAAATTGAATATAATTTGTCTGAAAGTTTTGGAGTTAGATTGAAAATATATGTGGAATTCAATAGCTAGTAAGTGTTAGTGCTTAAAGAAAGCTTTGGTTATTGCTTCTTTGTTCCTATATTTGAGACAAAAACTGAACATCAGGAAGAGTGGGAAACATTTTCAGTAAATAATTTTTTAGGGTTTTTTCCTCACTGGAACATCTTTAGGTATTCATCTTCAAATCAAGATATGGTACCAACTCTTAATATTTGTGAGACTCACTCTTAGATGAACCTGAAAACAATCTTAGGCAGAACTTTGGGCTTTATGTGTTGTTTCTCAATTTTGCCTTACTATTGTGACTTGAAAAGTTATCTGCTGGGATTTAGAGAATGCACTAAGTAACAGGGGAAAAATATTAATGTCTGTTACTAAACAGGATTTTTTTTTTCTTCTTTTTTTAAGTGAGTTAGTGGATGGCTGAAAATTGGCTTCACCATTGAGTTGCAGAAATGTTTTGCTGCTTGAGAACCGTGAGGAGGTATTGCATGTTGCTGACCTAATTTACCTTTAGCATATGTTTAAATGTTTGCCTAAGGCTTGCATATATGTGAAACTGGTTTGGTATTTTTCTTTAATGCTTATTTCTTTGGCTCTCTCATCTCAACAGCTTGATGTTTTCAACAGCTCATCCACAGTTGAAAATCCCCAAAAGCCATACACTTGTCCTCAAGTGAGATATTAAAAAGCCTCTCAACAAAACAAGGGTTTTAAAATAGCTTACTTATGAGAAAGTGGTAATCTAAATCTGAATATTACATGACATATATTACTGCATTATTGAGTTATTAAAGCTCAGTGTTTCAAAAGGAGTTAATATATCTGCAATAATGAGCTTAATTTAACAAAGCTTTTCAGTGCCAAAGCTATAAGCCAAAAAGTTAAACTTCAGAGAGATGTGAAGTAAAAGTAAAAAGAAAGCTGAAGTGAATTACTTAATCAATAAATTAAATCTGTCCTAGAGTACGATTGCATAATGTGTTCTAGTGAAGATTGTGTTTCATGTCTTTCATGAAGCAGAGATGGCTGTCCTCGAGGTGATTTTGACCTTGCTTTTAATACGAAGCCCTTCTGTGCTCTTCAGATCTTAGTGAAGCTCTTGGAACTATCCTTGCTCCTTGTGAGCAAAGCCATCATAATCTTTCTTGCTTTTTCTCTCTCTAAATTCATTTTAATTAATGTATTTTGTCACTTCACTTGAAGGATGCCACAGACAGAGTTCTGTCTTTCACCTTCAGTAAATGAATTCTTCCTTCTGTCACACAGACTAACTTTGGCCTTTGAGCGTTTCTCTTTTAAGCAAGTTCAAAATAGACGTTTGGCTGGAATCCTGAGCCTTCCTGCTAGCACGACAGTGTTGTTTAGATACAAAACAAGGGAACTAAAATTAACCATACTTGGCCATTTTGCTTGTAGAATGCCAGATGGAAGTTTATGATTAATAAACTTTGAAGTATGATTAATAGTTTCCAGGTATGTTGGAACTTTTTTCCTAACTTCTGGAAACGGCATGCAATGTAGCTCAAGAGTGGATGTGGGAAATATTGTATGAATAAGGTGAGGAGAGCACTGAGCTCCTTCCTTCCTACTAGCAGAGCTGGGTGTAGGAGGATGTGGGTTTCTTGTATGGCTGTTAATCAAAACTGCTATCAGACAGGTAGCTGATTAATTTGCTTTTTTTTTTTTCCCCTTTCTTGGAAATTATTTTTTTTGCTTTGTGTCCACTTGCTAAAAAAGAAGTCTCTATGTTTTTTCCTCAGCAAGACAACTGTTCTGGTGTTTCCAGATCCAAAATGGTAAAACATATGACCAAGTGGACTTTTACCCAGTGTCTTTTGCTTCCTTTCTTCCCAGGTCAGGTAGAATTATTTTTTTCCTGCATCACTGAGCAACTCTGGTATGTTCTTGTCATTGAGAACTTCTGCTCTTCATAAAAACCTGATATTGCTGTGTTACTTCAACATCTGCTATTTTGAATAGTATAATGGGCTATACTGATGACTAGTCTTAGAGGCTTTCTCAGATGCAGCCAGGAAGGAGGTAGAAGTGTTTGTCAGTGATGCATTTTATCTTTTTTTTAATCTTCCATTTAATCTGCACTCATGAAAATTGCTTTTAGTCATAGTGGTTTGAAATTTCATCAGCCATCTTACATTACAGGTTTTCCATCCAAATTCTCTACGAAAACTTCTCCTGTTCTCAGCAAGCTGACTTTTAAGACCTACTAATTAAATATGTGCCCACCTCTTAGCCAGAAAACATTAGCTTTAACTGCTTTCATGTTTCTAATTGAAGAGCTGGAAAGGTTGACAGAAAAAAGGTAGAGCAGGGGTCATTGTGTCTGCTTGACAACTCAACTGTTGTCAAGTAAATACTCTACCATTTGCTAAAAGAAAAATACCGCCTATTATCTGAGTACAAGTTTGGGGATTTTTCAATTTTGTTGTTGTTAATGGAAGCAGTCAGGAAATAGTCCCACGTGTTTCTGTGTCCAGGACATTTAATTGGTCTAGGATGCTGAACAAATAAGTCTTTGTAAAACAGTCTTGCTTACTCTTATTAAGAAAAATTTACTAGTTTTTTGTCACCTGGAAGCAGCTTTGCCTCCAGTTTGCCATCCAGTTTTCCTATTTAGGGCTTGCAATTTGAATGATTCTGTGAGGAGCTGAACAGCATCGTATTACTTAACAGAGGAGAATCTGTCCTTCTGAGGTGCAAACTTAAATGAACATTGATCACAGAGAAAATGGTTGGCCTGTTGAATTTGTTAGCCTGTGAAATCAGCTGAAGGAGAATACTCCTAAATTTACTAAGTAAAGGGAAGAAAAGAACTGTCTTTTTACTTGATGTCTCCTACAGAAGAGTATGTTTGGAAAGTAGATTAATTTATTTTTTTAATGTACACAAGTGTGTGGACCTCAATCTAATGCATAACTTATATTGGTTGAATTGTGATTATTATTCCTGGGTAAAATTTAGTATACTTTTGGCACTGCTTGAAAAATAAATGGGTTTTGCTTTTAACCTGGAAGTTCAAAAGTATGTAAGAGTTAGTTTTTAAAAGCAACTTCAGCAATTGCTGCAAAAAATACCACTAAAGCCAGTCTTGATCATTCCAGCTACTTGACTGGGTTTTTTTTCTTGTTTGAGCCTGTGTTGAGAAAATAGAGGGAAAAGTTACTGTACTCTTTTTCATGTCTTCAGTCAACCATTAGCACCCATCATCTCAAACCTGTTGGATTGCTCTGTGTAAATACAGCCCTGTGAATCCCAAAGGGGAAAATGAGCACTCAGACTTCTTATACCAGTTTTAAATTATGATACTTTGAACTGTGAATGTTTATTTCATTCTGTCACATTCTAATGTAGTTTATATCAGTTTGTCACTTGATTGGTTGCATCATACATAAACATTTTATTACTTTACTAGGTTATGTCTTGAGAAGATGCTGCTACAGTGTGTTCTTCAGTCAAGAACTTTGTCAGGAGCTGATGCTATCAATGCTCTGAGGCCTTTCTATTTTGCTGTGCATCCAGATTTCTTTGGCCAGCATCCCAAAGAAAGGGTAAAAATCTTTTTGTGTGCTTTCTTTGTAAATGTCATACATCAAAGATGAAAATTGACTGGTTTTCCTCCTGTCAGAGAAACAAAAGTAGTATTGGAATTGAAAACTGTTGTTTCCAGAGAACCAAAAGATGCACTTTCTTTGTTTCTAACAAGAATGAATCCCTTAAGCATCCATCAGTTGTTATTCATATTTTCTGTTTAATTCTTACAAAGAAAATACTGAATCCTTCCAGTCTAATTTATAATACATATTGCTTGCTTTATCACTTTGAAATGCTGTGCATTGTATTTGAATCAATGGATTTCTCTAAGCTTGAAAGCCTTAAAAGTGGTGTCTTGACATGTACAAGAATGTACAAATATGTACATCATACCATTTATTAATGCAAGATAATTATTCATTTATGCAGATAATATGAACTATATCACTACTTGTTGAGAGCAGCTGGCAATTTGTAAAAACTAATTGTGCATGTAAGATTAAAAGGTTTAGATGAAAAATGGACAAATTAGTAATACGTACTTTTTTTTTAAAAAAAGGAAGTAAATGAAAACTCTCTGAAGAGGTTAAATGGCTACTTGGAGAATCTACAAAAACCAGGATTTCGCTCCCTTAAGCCAACTCGGCTTACTTTTTATGTGAGAGAAAGAGACCCAAACTCTTCTAATGTTCAAGAATCCTTCAGTGCTTCAGGTGCTTCTATATTGTGCAGAATCTATTATTCTTGTGCAGTCATAATGACTTTTCAGCTGAATAAAATCCTGTCATACCATGAAAATATGTATTAAGTCAGACAGGTAGGACCATCCCAAGTAATTAAATATCTTTAGCTTTAAAAAGCATTGAAAGAATGAGGAATTATGAAGTTGAGGTCAAGCTACAATACGAGGAAGTAAAAAACATAGGTTGATGTAAATGATAATGTTTCTGCTTTTAATACCTATGTCACTTTTAACTGGAACAACAGTTGAGTGCTTGTTTTCATTGCAGATAATGTCATACACAATGTCAGAGTGGGGTGGGGTCAGTAGGAACTCATCCTCTAAGCAGAAGTTGTATAGTATCTGAAGTTTTGATTTACCACATTGTCTCTTGGCTTTTGGACTACAGAAAATATTGCTTAGTTTAGAATATTGCTTGTGATTACTTTTATTCTATGTACTTGTCACTGATGTACAGATAGGCCTCATCTGACAGATGAGTTATGTTCTGTATCCTGGTGGTCAAAGCACTTGAGCAAATTGTGGTGGACCCTAGTGCTAGAAAACAAAATCATGCTGCTTTTCAAGAAAATAGCAGTGTTACATCCAGTCTTCTACAAATAACAGTTCAACTGGCAGCTGTGTTCTGCTCTGCACTCTAATGCTTTCTTGCTTTCTAATGGGGGAGTTAGACCAAATAGCTAAGTGGTGAGACTTAACTGTAGGCAGTGTGCAAATGTAATGCTTTGTTCTGAAGCTGCTGTCCAGAGCCTGTGAAGAGCTGTTGTAGTACTGCATTTCTGCAGTAAATGATATCCAAAACAATGCTAAGTAATAACAGGAACAGAACTGTTGGACAAAACTGCCACTGCTGAAGTGAAAGCATCCTTTTTTTGGGTTAAAGGGATAACTTTTTTTTGGCTACTTCATCTGTAGCTAGGTTTCAGCTTTGTCCAAGGATTCGGATATTTAAAACGGCTCTGTTTATATTTCTGGGTTTGTAACAGTTTTAAAGGCTAAACTGTACGTGAATTTTGCAGTGAGTATTGAAATAATATAATAATTTCCAACTCTGTGCACATTGTTTGGGTTCTTGTAAGATGAGAGAAACATGAATGCATTTTAAATAATTTTAATTAAGTAATGCTAATTTTGTGGGATTTGCATTTTGCAGGGTTTCGTGCAGTCAGTATTACACTACATACTAGGGATCTCCTGAGCACGGTATTAGATATTCTCAACTCATGCAGTTTATCAACGGAGCATATTCAGAATTTGAATGTGAACTCTCAGTCCCACAAGGAAGCAAAAAGCACAGTGAACAGGCCTATCAAGTGGGATAAGACTTACTATTCATTTACTGGATTCAAGGATCCCGAGGAGGAACTAGAACAAGCCCAGAGAATGGAAACAACTTTAATGTATGTAAGGTTTTTATTTAACTGATGATTTGTAACCTAAATTTGTCTTAGTCTTAATGCTGAATTTTTTAAAGGCAATCAATAAACATTCTGAACAGTACAAAACTTTATTGTCCAGCATGTAATTCTGTCACACTTTTTATAATTAAAGAGAGTTCAGATGAGCTCCTGGGATAATTATGGTGCCAGCTAAGCTGAGGCATTCTTGTCTCTGTAGCCAGCATTCATGTTTGGCCAATCTAATTTTTGTTGTTCTAATTTTTCAATTTTGTGGAATATCAGTGGTGATTCGGAAGGAGACAGACTCCTTACTTCTTACAGGACTTTTATAATACCAACCTATATGGCTATTAACTTTGTGATCATGAAATACTAGCAATATTCTGTTGGGAGTGGGAGATCATACATGTAAACTAAGGTTAGAATGGTTTAATTTTCCAGATATCTTAGTGATGTGCTTTTGATGTTCAGCATACCAACCTTTATATTTAAATTTAGAACTAAACTTGCATTAAATGCATCTTGTTATGTATTAGGAGTTGGTTTATCATAAATTCTATATGTACTCATTTTGGGGAAGGGTAAAAAATACTACCTTAAACTTTTTTGTAATGATGAGACTTCAGTGCCATTTAAAATAAATGTAAAACTGTGGTGGTACCTCTCATCCTGCCTAGCACATCACAAGTAAAACTACTGTAATATATGCTACTGTAAAAAAACTTAGCTGAATTTTAACAGTATTTTTACTTATTTTTGGCACAAACAAGTTACATATTAACAGTCCGCATTTAATACCTAGCCATTTGGCATTCAGGCTCTCTTATTGCTTCTGAGTTTGAATTTTTCTACTTAGAGTACATTATGAGAACAGCAGTATTTGTAAAAATAAGCATATGAAAGTAAGTTTATGCTGTGAACAAAGGCTAAATCTCTTAAAGAGTAGCTTTTTCCTAGGAATGGAATGACGTATTTATTGAAGGTATTAGATGTACTCCCATGAGTCATGTTTGCCTGGTTGTGATTATTGACAAAAGAACTGTAAAACTTTGACCTACTTAATCTGTGTTCGTCCCAGCTCTCTAAGAGTTACCTAACTTGGCCCTTATGTGATAATTTACTGTGATCACTTTGGTAGGTGTTTTTTTTGTTTGTTTTTAAAGGCAGATGCGTGGGAACTTCTTTTATTAATGCACTAAGGCCTGAAGCTGCCACCCTAAATCACACTAATCTGCTGCTCTACATCATTCACACCTCTAAGTCTTAGAGTGTAACACTGTCAGCTTCTTTTGGTTCTGTTTGATTCCCTAGTTCTTTGTTTTTATTTGTAGAAATCCTATGGTGAAGCATTTAGCAATTTCAGTTTCTGTCCTCTACTTTTAAAAAATCCATTCACCTGGTAGCTTGAATAAAATGTTAATGGTAACAATAAAAATGCAGTTAGTTGTACTTCTTGCATGAAAGATAACACAGCATGCCTCCACTCTTGGATTTTTTTTCCTCCTCTTCTTTCAGATCCTGGCTAGATGATAATGAAGCAAGTGCAGTAAAAAAGCTGAAAAAGAGTTTGCCACTTAGAAAAGAACTAGAACGTTTAAAATTTGAACTCTGTCATCAGCTTCAGCTCTCAGATATCAGGTAAATAAATTAGATTGGTTGGGCTTAAATTAAGACAGTTAAAGCAAGAAGGTGTTGTGTAATGCTACACCATCAGCTTTAAAGGCTATTCCAGCAAAACAGCTACATTTCATATATGTGAAAGTGTTACTGCACTGAATAATATTTTTGTAGAATTCTGTTGGGACAAAAGTTTCCTGTTATAATCTGCTCAAAAAGACCTAGTATTTTTAACTAAAAACATAGGCTTCCGTTGCAACAAACATATAAGCACGTGAAATAGGACCTGTGCATATGCATTAGTTTGGGTGTTTTGCTGGATAAAATGTTTTTTTCCTGAATTCCGGTGTATATCCACAAAGGTAACTAGAGTGGTGGTGAAATGCAACTTTGCACATGGTGCACACTGACATCCTGTAAAGGCTTATTAAAAATGTTGTTATTTCTAGTGTCTTGCTTCACACACTCTGGAGCAGGGAGAGGATTTTTTTTTATTATTATTTTTTGCTTGAAAGGGCTGCGTATGGTTGGTGATCTTGATTCTTCAGAATATTTTCCAGGAAACAGTATATTATTCTTTTTTTTTTTTTAATTTTGAGCCTTCAATCAAGGATGTTCTAAAGCAGCATATTTGGGATGGGAAATGGCAGGGAATGTATTAAATAATAGAAAAATAAACTTTGGGGCATTATTTCAAGGGCTAGTCTATTAAGTTGTTTCAACCAGAAAAGATATAACTGGAGCTTCTGAATTATACTTTTGTTCCTTTCACCCTGTAGAAGACCCTGGCTTCCTTTAAGTTGAGACCAGTTTGGTTTTTTTTAACACAATTTCTAATCCTCTGCAACTGTGCCAGTGGTGAGGGTTTTTAAGTTTCTAAAGTGCTCTTCAGTATTAAGTGCATAGGTTTGGTTTTATTAATGGCTTGTATTTAATTTTCTTATAGTTTGTGCTTTTAAAATACACTAGAGCTGTTGTGTTCCATGAAGACTTACTAACCTTCCAAGAGTTGTATTGTCATAATTCAGAAAAGACTGTGAGTGTCAGAAATCTGACAAGCTTCTTAATAGGACTACTGCTATTACTACTTGTGATCCTGCAGCCTAATGCTAGTGTGTTTACAGAGGTATGAAAAAATAAGGGGGTCATTTGCTTTATTCTATGCAAAGGTTTAGGACAGCTGAAGAGACAGTAGTATCTATAAGCCACCTTCTTGCATTCCTGTCTGGTGCTGCTGAAAGCAAAGTGATATTGCTAGGTAACAGTAAATGGTAATTGTAATTACTTGCATTGTAATAGATTGGATTGCCTCATAAGCTCTGTGGTGTAGGGCCATCCTCTGCATCCCAGAGTGGTTTTTTGACAGGTTTCCCTAAATGAAGTGTTGTGGGTTGACCTGAGGCAGCATCTCTGCAGCCACACGGCTGTTCAGTCATACACTCCTGGTGGGGTGGGAGGAAGAGAATAAATAGGAAGAGCAAAAGCAAGAAAACTTGTGGATCAAGGTAGAAGTTTAGTAGGTGAAGTGAAGCAAAACTATGTGTTGAGATAAAGCAAAAAGGAGGAACTCATTCACCCCTCCCCATTGGCAGGTAGTTGTTTAGCCCCTTCTGGAAAAGCAGGACCTCAACATTTGTGGTGCTTGCTCAGGAAACCAAACACCATAGCCACGAGGGTCCCCCCTTCCTCCTTTTTTTCCCTGAGCACGGATTGCTGAGAATGGCATTGTATGGCGTGGAATATCCCTTTGGTCAGCTGGAGTTACCTGTTCTGGCTGTGTCCCCTCCCAGCTTCTTGCTCACCCCAGCTCACTTGCTGGTGGAGGGAGATAGAGTGGGAAGAAAATGCAAAAACCTGAATTCTCTGCCAGCACTGCACAACAGACAAAACAGTGGTGCATTATCAACACTGTTCTGTACAAAACACAGGGAGGCTGGGAAGAAAAATATCTTCATCCCAGTCAGACCCAGTATAATAAGCAAATGATAACATCCCGTTTTGAGACAGTTTTATATCAACTAGAAGTTTGCAAAAAGATATAATTTTTCAATACACTGGGACAACTTTACAATTTAAATGCTTTTTGAAACTTAGTTTATTCTGTCTGTGGTGGAAGAGATACCAAAACTGTATAGTGAAGTCACCAATGTAATGCCTAGTTCCTGTATGGTTTAACAAAAATTACTCCTAAATAAAATATTAATATATATAGCAACTTGCCACGGAAATCATGGTAATATTTTGGGCTACAAATTCAAAAGAAAAGACTGCTTCTCTAGGCAAACATTGCAAAGGGTACGAACAGAAACTGATTCTACACGTCTGATCCAAATACTGGGTTGTCTGTCACTATTTACATACTAACCCCCTTCTTATTGGGCAGAGGGATCTGCAAGTTCTGCCCTCTCTCTCATGTTTTGTATCTGTTTTTCCTGTATCTGTTTTTATTCCTTTTTTATTTTTGGCGCTCACTTTAAGAAAGACTGAAATTTCAGTTAGGCTTGTTATCTGATTAAATGACGTACGACTCAGGCAGCTTTTCAGTAGGCCTTTGCTTTTATTACTGTTGGAGTGGTATTTTGTTGGAGTAGTTTGTGTTAAAAGGCTTTCAGCTGCATTTCAAATTCTGTCATTTTCTCTTTTTTTATGATGCTGAGAATGAAATGCTTTCAATTTTATTTGTATTTAGGTGGCAGAGAAGCTGGGGTATTGCTCACCGCTGTAGCCAACTACACAGTCTAGGTCGCTTAGTCCAACAGAGACCTGAAATATTAAAGAATGTTAAAGGTATTTTTGTTGCTTGTTTCATATATCCTAGTATAGTATTGGTTCAAAGATGAGAAAGAATGTTGTGTGACAAGTGAGTTCTAGTTCTTTTCACAAATGCTTTTGATAACTGGAAAAGCAAACCTGCCAGGCTTACTGAAAAACTGGTAAGAACTTAGATTTTAAGCTATTAGGTGTTTTTTGAAGTGGCCTTTCCTTATAGTGTATTCACTACACTCAGCTTCTCTTTTACTGTAATAAATACAAACTGAGTTGAAGGCACTAGACTTAATACTAATAACGGAAGTAAAAAATTCAGACTGAACCACTGGAAGGTTGCAATAGCTTGTTACCTGTAGTTAGATTAAAAAGAAAAATTTGAGTAGCTCTCTAAAGGAATACTTAGAATACTTTTTAAATAGTGTTGTTGTCTCTTACCACGCATGTTCCATAGAATACCTATGTTAAAGTCTGTATTATCTCAGGCAAAATGAGAACATTCTGTAAACCTGACTTGCCATTCCTCTCATACAGCTGTTTGTGGCAGCCAGGATGTGTTTCCTCTAATAGTAACCACATTTATGCATGTCTGCAGGTACTCAGTTTTGAGTGGCTTTCATTTGAGGGTTCACCTAATCCTTTGTCAAAAGACAAGAGTGGGTAGGATAAGTAGTAGTAGTTTTAAATTGTATCAGGTTTCAAATTCATTTCTTTACCTAAGCGTGCTAAGGTTTTTAAGTGCTAAAGAAGTCTGTCTTCTGAACCTGTTGTAGTCTCCATCTTTGAAGATTTTTAATAATATACTGGCCAAATACCTGTCAGTAATTATACAGATACAGTTGATCTTGCCTTGGGGTACAAAGATGGATGAGATGCCTTGAAGTCACTGTTCATCTTTCCTAAGGATTTTGGAAAAAATATTTTCGGGAGCAAGAGCTTCTATTTAAGCCAGGCTTTGTAGATTAACACATGACAAGTCATGAGGACTTCTGTGGAAGCTTATTTTGATAAATAATTTTCTGTGCTTTTTACCCCAAAGAATTCTTGAGGTTCTTTATGCTGGACTTAAAAAAAATATACTTGGGCTAAAAACTGATTGGTCTCCTCAAAAGTAAGCCTAGTATTATCCTTTTATGTTGCCCCTCTTCTTTCTTTAAAAAAAGAGAAAAAAACCCTAATGTTAAAGCATTTCTTACAGCTTGCATGTTGCAGAGAGTTCTGTGGAAGTTCTGTTGAATGGCTGTGCTAATAGTTCTTTGACAAACCTTTGCCTTATTTAGATATACTTTAAGTATAGAGCTTGTATTTCCTACTGTATGTGTGATGTGTACAGATTATTTGAATACACTGTCTCCTGAGATTTTTTGTATTTTAAAAGTAGTCTTTGTAAGAAACAAGTCCAATTAACTGAAAAATCTGTCAAGTTTAAACAGGGAGAAGGCAAATACTAGGTAAGGTTTGTATGAAAGAATTATTGAACTGGAGTTTTCAAGAACCACTCTTTCAAATTTTGAGAATAACAAAAGCACCTACATGTGTGTTTGTGCTGCAGAAATGTGTAGCTTGTGACATGTTGTTAGCATAGTTGAGATGTAAAGAATTTTAAGAATAATTGCTATAATCCACATTGGTAAAGCACTTTGTTCAATCTTTAGGACGCACAGTGGTATTTACAGATCGTTCAGGTATGAGTGCAGCAGGTCACATAATGCTGGGGACCATGGATGTTCACCATCACTGGACCAAAGTAAGATGTCAAAGTAAACCATGATGCCTCCTGTAATGAGACTGTTTTTTAAACAGTAACCAAAATATTAATTGGTGCAGATTAATTACTGATGAGTAATTTAAAGCAAACACATAGCTACTCTATTGAGCATAACTGTGTACATTGTATTCTAAATTTAATCCTGTGATATGTTGTTACTAATAAAAATCTTTGTCACCTCTTCTGCTTTCACTAACAAAGCAGCCCTACCCCTGATGTGATATAAAGGAAACTAATTTTCTACACAGTGTTCCAGGCTATGCAGCGAGCACTGATCATGCAGTGAGCCACAAAGATCATCTCCATGAAGAATTTAGGAATTCTATTAAGATTTTGGTTTTTTAAATGGGACTTAAGGAAGTTGTGAAGTGACGGTTTCAGTCAGAGGCTCCTGACCAACCCTCTTACTCCACTTAGTTCTTTTAGACAGATAATGTGGATTTTGCCTAAGTCTGTCTTTAGTGACTGTGTGAATTCTGCTGCTGCTTGTGTAAAGTTCAGAGCTGGCAAGCTTTATGGCATCCTAAATGATAAAGTATTATATGCAAAGGTCTGCAAACAAAATACATAGTGGGATCCGCATGTCACTTCTGACAGTTTTCTTGAATCTTGTTTGTTGAAATATTATTTATAGTTCTATCAAAAAATACTTAATTATGAATGAGATAATTGGTAGAATTTCATAAGTGAGAATTTTATCCTGCTAGAGTATAACACTATTCTATTTCTGTATTCCAGTCAATGAGTACGTTGAACATTTAGCACTCAATCCAACACTTTTTCTGGTGGCTGTTTGAATTTTTCCCTATGTATTTCACTTAGGGAGAAAAACCATGGTTTGTTAGTGTGAATGATTCACACAGAACTTAAACTGAGAAACTAGAATTTAATGCAAAACTTGATATAAATACACTGAGGTTTGAGCGTGTTAATTGTCATTGGGTTAAGAGTGTCCTGATTAGTACTAAAATAAACACTCTCTTCCTTGAAAAGTGAAATGCTTCCTCTCTCTTTGCTGAGAGGTTTTCTGAAGGGGTCATATATCTGCACAAGGTATTGTGCAGATGGGACAATGTGTAGTTAGTTGTGGTGATGGTATTTGCTTTGGAAGACAAAAAAAGGCTTTTGTTTTAAAATGCCCTGATGGTCATGTTTATTGATATACAGAAAAAGTAAATTAAAATCTTCTTGAGATTTGTTAGCTGCATAGTTTTTAGAAAGCAGAAATTTTTATCCAGTTCTAACTCATTTTAAAAAGCAATCCTAAGTGCTATTATTTTTGTTGCTAATTATTAGAAAAATGAAGCAGTAGAATAGTATCCAAGTCAGTCTGTAGAATGGTTGGTGAGAGGTACAATATTTAGAGGATTTCTGCAGTTTTTCTCTATAAGAAATGCAAATGCTGAACCAGTGGATTGTATTGTGCCAAAAACTGTTCTGATCCTGCTATTGGCTCAGGTTTCTAAAGGGATTATTCTGAAATCACTTGGCTTGTTCCAGCAGCAGGTTTTTTTGTTTGTTTTTGTTTGTTTTTTGTATTAAAAACTATGTTATAGTAATAACTGAGTAGATGGTAAGTAAAGGTTACTACTACAGACTGCCTCTTTTCACTTTTGTTGCCCTCTTTCAGCCTTCTCCCTGTCACACCTTCTATGTCTTGACTCAGGTCTGATCACTTAACCTTTTCTGGTATAGGTTTTGTAGATGAGAGGTGTGGTACCTTCCTTCTTTTTCCTCTCAAGACAAGTTAGGGTATCATCCAAGCCTTTGGAAGGAACTAGTTTCAGCAACAGGGACTTCTTTTTTGAGAATGGATATGAACTAGACTGCCACAAGTACTTTGACTGTATGTAGAATAACTCCACAACTATAACTGTGGTAATAAACATTGCATATAGGCATCATTGTAATTTAATAATTTTTTTAATCTGAGACTGTTAATTTCTGTACATATAAAGAGGCCATCCATCAATCTTATTATGGCCTTTTGGTGCCTTCAGAGTATAGATACTGAAAATATTTGTAAGCTTATTCCTTGATATCTTGCCCTAAAACATACATGCTTGACATTTCTGATTTTTTTTTGTCTGTTTTATTCCACTCCCCCCTGGGTTCTATGTTTGCATTGTTAAATATCTCTTCTTTTATAGTTTCTTGTTATTTTTTTTCATGTCTTAAAATCAGCTTTTATGCTTTGTAACATAGGAAATGTTTGTGTGTGTACACAGATTTTTGAGAGATTGCCTAATTATTATAGTCTTCAGAAAAGGCTGCTGTTGTTGGAAGATCGCATAAGCCAGCTTCTGGGAGGCATACAAGTAATATATATTGAAGAACTGCAACCCCTGTTGACTCTAGAAGAGTACTACGAGACTCTCGACTCCTTCTATAATAGATTACGTGACAGTCGACTACCTTTTCATCCTCGCAGTCTGCGAGGCTTACAAATGGTTCTGGAAAGGTAGGTATTTGCAGGGAAGGTTTCTTTCTTTTAAGGCTTTTACCTTTTTTGTTTTGTTACACTGATTATCGTTCTCACTAAGAAGAAAACTGTTACAATCTTGGTTTTTCATTATCAGTCTTTGTTTCTAAAGTTTTTAAGTGCCTTTTTATGGGTTAAGAAGAAATCAGATTGAAGAAAATCCTGCTTAATTTCATTCAAGTTGAAGTCCTGTTTTTAAAGGGTGCAAGATTAAATCTAAGATTTTGTGCTGTCCGGTCAACACTCAATTGTGTATGATGGTGCTGCTATTTATACTTTTCAAGTATTGTTTAATGTAGTTTAAATGTAGTTTTTAAATGTAGTTTTTAAATAGTTTGATGGATGATGTTTCTCTATTCTCATGAACCAAACTTGACTAATTTTTTACCAATTATTCTGATGATTATTATATTATTATATTCTTTTATCTTCAGAATTCAGTCTGACAGTAATTAATTTAAATGCATAAAAAAGATACCTTCTTTTTTACTTCCATCATGTTCATTAGTGACAGATACGCACCAAGATTACATGAATATGGGCACTTCACGATCCCAACGGTCTGTGATCCAGCAACTCTTCAATGGTTTATTTTTGCCAAAGCACAGGAAGCAAGAGAGAATCTGAAAAGAAAGGAGGAGTAAGTGTTCATGTGTCTCGATACATTTAGCTCATTAAAATCTTTGCGTGTCATATGCTTTATTTGGAAGGGGACAACTTTGAAGAATGTATCCATGCTCTTTTAGTGGAAAAACCCTTCTGTTTATAAAATAGGTCTTCGTCTGTCAGCTTTACTAAGTAAAACGTTTCATTGTTCAGTGAATGCAGTTGTTAGAAAATACCCATCCTTCACCTTGTAGAAACAGTTGTACTTTATTCAGCAACAAAAGGTCTTAGCTTATAAGAAAAAGTTGTGTAATTTTTTTATAATTACTTCCCCAAAGGAGAGATGGGGTTTTTTTTAAGGCAAACACCTTTTTATTTAATAAAAAAAGCAAAAAACTATTGATGTTACTGGTACAGTGACAAGAAAGAGTAAAATCTAAACTAAAAATAACCTGCTAGAGAATTATTATTTCTAGTTGTGTGTCAGTTGGTTGAGGTGAAGATTAGTTAGCACCCAACAAGGCTGTCAGGATTTTACCTGGAATCGACAATTAAACCAGCAACAATAAAACTATCAATTCCCTCTCCCTCCCACCCAGCTAGGGAAGGAGAGAGAAAAATAGGATAGAGACTTTCTGGATTAAAACTAAACTAGACAGTTTTAATTAAATACTAAGGATGAAAGAAAATATGTACAATTATAGAATCAGAGAACCATTCAGGTTGGAAAAGACCCTTGGGATCAAGGGTCCAACCATCATCCCTACTCTACAAAGTTCTCCCCTAAACCATATCCACCAATGCCACACCCAGACAACCCTTAAACATACCCAGGGATGGTGACTCAACCACCTCCCTGGGCAGCCTATTCCAGTATCTGACCATTCTTTCTGTGATTTTTTTTTTTCCTAATGTCCAGTCTAAGCCTGCCCTGTTGCAGCTTGAAGCCATTCCCTCTTGTTCTGTCGCTAAGTACCTGCGAAAAAAAAACCAGCACCAACCTCTCTACTATGACCTTTCAGGTAGTTGTAGAGACTGATGAGATCTCCTCTTCCTCAAACTAAACATTCCCAGCTCCTTCAAGTGTTCTTCATAAGATTTATTCTCTAGGCCCTTCACCAGCTTCATTGCCCGTCTCTGTACTCGCTCTGACACCTTTATCTCTCTTGAATTGAGGTGCCCAAAATTGGACACAGTATTCCAGGTGTGGCCTCACCAGTGCTGAGTACAGGGGGACAATCACCTCTACTTCTGCTGGTCACACTTATTTCTGTTTACGTAAAAATCTTTACTATGCAGCGCCACCCTACAGATCAGTATGAAAACCCCTGTTACCTCTACATATCTTATCACATGATAGATTATGGCTTTGGCTATAGTCATGTTGATAAGCCATAAAAGAATGACAAGAGCAGCTACACAGAGTGGTATTATTCCAGCTGCATAGTACATGTATGATTGCATGTTGGGGGAAAAAGGTCCAGCAAAAACATTGCAGAAAGTGTCTGCTCAGTTCTTAGCCCATCAACATGTTCAGCAGAAGCGTTGTCCATAGGTATCTGAGGGGGTGGTCCTCCCATCAGAAGTGAAATTTTAAATGTTCACCAGTTAGTCAGAATGTATAGCCTGGGCTTAAGATACAGCCCCACGTTGGGTGCCAATAAATTATTGTCATGGTTTGACTTAGGATGGGCAATTAAATCACCGACAATAAAGCTCTCAATTCCCTCTCCCTCCCACCCAGGTAGGTACTTGCTGCTAGTTTAAAGAGTTCACTGAAAGAAAAAAAAATAATCAGTAAAAGGAAAGTTAGCTTAATCTTTGCCCAAGCCAAGACACAAGGGGAAGAAAAAAATTTGGGATATAATTATGAGAGAAATACCTCCTTGGTATTCTTTCACAGATGCGAGTGAGGTGAGACAGCTGACAATAGTGAGTCATATAGTACCATGATATTAAGTCCATGACTTGTAATATCCATCGTAACTGTAGATTTTGTTCTTGACCTTGTTTTATGTGTCTTTGAGAATTAAGAGCATGAAGTAGAAATTCTGGTTATATTTTGAATAAAGTACTGTGATAGGTAACTGGGCATTATTGCTCTTTTAAAGGTTGTTGCTGCAAGTTTATTTTTCTGCTTTGGAAAGCTTCTAATGACTTGTTGAAATATCACAGTATCATGAGCATATATGTGATGTATAGATCCAGGGTTTTTTTGTGAAGGTTATTTTAGGCCTGAGTCTTACTGAAGGCTTTATGGTTTTGGCTGTGTTAAGACCTGATTACTTGAGAGGATGTATTTTGGAGATGGAATTCAGTAAAACATGGAGGCTTGTTGGAATTTCTCCATACCCCTAGCGCAGCTTCGAAGTTATAGCTATTCAGCAGTTGTATTGCAAAAATAATCTCTGTGTAGCTATCCATATGTGACTGCTGGGCAAGTACTGTCTGTAGAAGTTGGGAGAGATGTTGTAGCAAATAATCTTGCATCTGGGTAACTCGCTCTCCAAAAAAATCTCACACTACCTCACATTATAAAGACACTAATCCAGGGCAGCTGTGGGGCTCCCCTTAGAGTATAAGCAGCTGTGTTGTAAGAATGTGAGAGCCAAGCTAGTATCTCGGCTCTTATGTTGTGTGTTGGAGGATTGCTGGTTTATATGATATAAAGAACTACACTGGGCTATAATGAAGATCTGTGCCCATCATCCTTTAGCTTATGAGAAGGCCATATGAACAGGGCAAAAATATGGTGGTTTTTTTTTTTAACTTGGTATTCCTTTCCAGTTTCTGACTGACTGCACTTGAGAAAATACTTGGAGCTGGAAACAGTATCTCATGTTAAGAGCATTCAATAAATCATCTTTCTTTCCCCTCTTAATTGTGTAGATATTTACTCTTTATCGCTCCAAAATATTCCAGAACAGCAAATTGCACAGTTCAGTTGCACATAGGATGTGTACAGATCATGTCTTTTAGACCCACAGGTTGGTGGTTTAATTTGTCATTCTCTTGTTCTTGTGCTGTAGGAAATAAGAAAGAGTCATTCTGTATTTATCGCCTCCACTTTTTTATGTGGATATGTCCTATTTCCCATTACCTGTTATTGGAGCTGAAAATTCCTTTTCCACTTTAATGCTTCCTTGAACAGAACCCATTCTGTACTTCGGATTTTCCTTAGCCTCCTGTGATTGTTAAAGGGGCCTTGAGATCAAGGAAGATTTTTTGGGATGCACTGGATTTACTTTGCACATGCAGATGAATGTTTTACATGCAGTAAATAGTGTAGCATAGCTGGAATTCTGTATGATCTGATACACAGAGGAGTTAAAACCCTGCTGCTCTAGAAAATTGTCTTATCTGTGTGGATAATGTCAGTCTTATAATAATGCAGGATTTAGTATGAATCTCCTTCCCCTTCCCTTGCTTTTGTAAAGTACCAGTTTTGTATTGTGATAGAGGTGTAAGCCTCCTTGTAGAAGTGACTAAAAATGAACCTGCAGTTCTTCCTCTGTGCAGCTAATTTTATATCCTTCAAGGGAGCCTGAGGTTTCACAGAGCAGGAGATCTTGGTGCTCAGGTATTAGAGAATTTGCTCAGAAAGGCAGTGTGGATTTGGTCAGTAGAGAGATCAGGCTTGCCCCTGGTTAACTCATTGGCCCAGGTTATTCCTGGCTGCCTGAGCTGGGCAGTGCCTCAGCAGAGCATATATAGTGCCACGCAAGTACATAGAGATCCCTTACTGAGCTCTGGAAAGAGTGATGTTGAGCCCCTACACACATGTTTTCGCACAAGTCAAATAGTCTCAGTAGCTGTGTCTGTGCTTAGCTTGGGCTGGTTCACGTCCCAGTGGCTCTGCAAATGTGCTACTGCTCCGCAGCTCCTGCCCAGTTTAGCACAGGCTCTGCGTTGTCAGGCAGCAGTGGTGCTGTTTCTGTAGCTAAGTTGGCTCTGGAAGAAGTATAGCTATGTTAATATGGCACAGTGCCTGAGCTGGCAAGGCTTGCTGAACCGGACCTGTCTCTGCATCAGATGATCAGTCACAGTTCCAGGGACTATTCATTCTGCACAAACTTTATTTTTTTCCATTCAGCCCAAACCACATGGCAAACTCAAGCTACTTAAAAAATAATCTGTGAGCTATGAATTCAATATTCATAGAATCATTTGGGTTGGAAAAGACCTTTTAAGATCAAGTCCATGCATCAGGTGACTGTACCAGTCATCAATTGTTTTTGGTAACATGCAGAGTAATGGTCTTAGTTAAGAGTAGATACTAATATTATTTTATTTTTAAAGGTAGCACTTTCCAGGTTATTTAAGTACTTTCATTCCTTACACCAGAAATGGAGCCTCATAGGATTTTTATTTTTGTAGTTTTCCCTGTTATCTGGCAAACAAAAAAATGTTCATGATGCAGGCTTTCAAATGTGACTCTATGCATGCTGTTGCCCACAGTCATGGGAACATGTTCAGTCTGGCCTCTGAGATAGACATGGGTATCAGCCTGCACAAAAATCTCAGCTGTACTACAGCTGTACATGAAGTGACACCTTTGTTTACCTTCATATAACCTACAAATAGACTTATTTCAAGCATTTATTTGAGATGCTAAGTTGTTATTTTGTCACTGCATGTTGTCTTTGTTTGCTAGGATGATGGTTACAGAAAAAGAGCTAATTGATACTTCCACTGAGAAATTTTCTTTGGATCGGCTCTATAAGGAACCCAGCGTCTCCAGTGCTCAGATGATAGATTGTTGTAAGCGACTGCTGGAGGAATCGTTGCCGTACCTACAAGGCATGCACCTTTGCATTTCCCATTTCTACTCTGTGCTGCAGGATGGAGACCTGTGTATACCTTGGAACTGGAAAAACTGAGGACATATCTGATAATCAGATGAATTGCTTATTTTCTGTAAGAGGCTATGAATATGAATGTTTTTAAGAGTAAATTATTTAAATCTGTATTTTGATATCAGTATTCAACCCACAAATTTTTGTTCTAGCTGCTGCTCAAAAAGGATTGAAGTCCTAGACAATTTGCACAGTGCACAGTATTGCCAGTTCTGGGAAAGACATCTGTACATTCTCCATACTCTGCTGTAGGAGTCCCAATGTATGGTAGCAGTTTTGAAACTGCATTTTTGTAGTGAGTTATGAAAAATACATTAAATTGCAAGTCTGCAAAACTGCACGTGTGTATTTTTAATATACATTAATATTGCCAGATAAATCATCTTAAATAGTGTACTACTCAAACTGGACATTTCATGTTATCTTAAGGGATTCATTGAATGCAGAAGTTGAGTCCATAAGTTATCTAGTGGCAATATTGCACTTCATTTTTCTACCAATTGCTGAATTTAAAAAAAAAAAAGACAAGGGAAAAAATATCAGAGTATTTCTACTTTCCAGAAGAAAACGGTACATTAACTTGGTCTCTACTGAAGAGTTTCATATGCTGGCCCAGTATTTGTTGCCTTAGAATTTCAAAATATGCTAGTTGTACTGTCTACAATTACTTTAAAGGAGATGTTACTCTGTTTTCTGGCACTCCCTCCATAAATGCAGACAATCCTCTTCACATACGCTGTAACAGATTGCAAATCCCATTCACAGCACTTACAACCTGAGTAGTTTAATGTGACATCTAAGTGAAGGAAGCATTGATCTCTGTGGGATTATCTGCAAGAGAAAGTACTTCTCACTGAGAGCAGCGAGTTTGCAGTAAGGCAAATGTGTGGATCCTTAGTGGTACTTTATTCCTTGGGGAAAAAAAAAAAAAAGAAATAAAGTGTGAATGTATGTCAGCACTTTCATATTTGGGTTGCTACTTTTCAAAATATTTTTTTGCAAAGAACCACTTGTTTTAATGTTTCTGAACTTTAATTCACCTATGAAAACTGGTTAAAAAAAAAAAGGAATTGTCAAATGCTTACTTGCCTTGTATTTATATTTGTATTGAGCAGAGAAATTGTTGTGGTTCTCTGTCTTGTTATAAGGCTCAGCATCAAATTGTTTGTTATGTTGCCAAACGAATTCCCCACTGTGATCTCAAACATGTCTGTTTTAAAACATCAAGACAGAAGCTTTCTCAGACCTTTAATTCAGCCAGATTGCTAGCAATTCCTCTCTAGGTTCTGAAGAGAAGTCAGTAGTTTCTTCTAAGTAGTTAACTTCATTGCACATTACTTCGCCTCGCTCTGTCTAGCAGCGATGATACTGTCTGTGTCCCACTTGTAATAGGTGAATGCGCTGGTCCTGTCACCTGTAGCTCGGCAATGTTCCCTGTAACAACTCTTTGAAAGCAGAGTGTCTTCAGGAAAAAAGGTGGGTGTAGTAATTGTTCTCTTGCCTGCCTTGAATGAGCCCTTACAGATCTTCAGGCAAGAAGCAGCGGTCCAGCTTGGCTGTAGAGGAGGGTGAAAAAGTCTGAGGGAAGGTGAGTAGACTTCATCAAGCGCCTGATGCACTTCTCTGAGGACTGACGCTGGGGTCACAGAAAGTAGTGACTAGGCTTAGGGACCTTCTCCTTGTAGTGTAGAGAAGAGGACTAGAACTGGCTGGAGGAGGACATGCAAGCTGAAAAGAGCCTTTATGAAGTAAGATCATGGGATGCTTCTGCAAATAAAATAGAGCAGTGGAGAACCTGACTTGGAACAGGGGTTGGAGTAGGCAAGGGCAAGCAAGAGGGAATGGGACTGAGTTTAAATCTGGAAGCAGTGAAAATAGTAACTGTTGAATATTTCTAGTCTGGGATAGATCTGAAGATTCTCACTGTTCCTTCTAAGGGAAAGTAGCCAAAATCTTCTGGTAAAATGTTTCAGCCATCAAAGAGTGGCACAGCTACCTCCAGCCTGGGGTCTGTGCAGTAAGGTGAAGAGTTCCAGTCCTCCTGCTATCCCACCAGAGAGGTGATCAGCTCAGGTGCCAGGGGGGTGGCCCTTGCCTTTTTAGGGTTTGTTTTCCTGAGTTTTGAAGATGATGCATGTCAAAATGTTTAAAACTGCTGAGAAGTTGAGCAATATAAAAATTAAGGTTGTATATAGGTCCATAATTCAGTATGGTATGGTCTGGGTCCTGATGAGTGATGTTGTACTGCACTTTCTGTAGTTCAGTTTTACTGCAGAATGGTTGAGTTAACTATACAAACATAACAGGCCTCCCAGCAATTTTTAACAGAAAAGCCGTATGTACATGTTCGATTTAATGTACATGTTGTAGGTATTTAACAAGTTTGACTTATCTTGAAGACTGTCCCAAAAATAATAGAATTCTCCATTCAGATAGGTGTGTGGGGGTTATAATCTGTCACAATTATATTTTGCTTTCTGACATTTTAATGAGGTAGAAGGAAGAAAAAGGCGTAGAACTCGAAAAGCCTTATGATGGAGTGGAAGTAGACAATAACTTTAAACTTTTGTCTGTTTTTAAGCTGTGCAGGACACCTCAAATTCTGTGGAACAGACTCTGCTGTCAGCTCATTGTGGAAATAGTTTTTAGTAATATTAACATCTACTTTAGTTTTATTCAGTACATAATTCCTGCTTGCTCTGTGGCCAACAACCAAAAACGTGCTTGCTGTAAGGTTTCAAAAAGTGTTCTTTTTAAAAAACAAATCCTAATATTAAACTAGGTGGAGTTGATGTCTTGCTGTTTTAATCATTATTTTTGGTTTATGTTTGAGTTTTTCTCCTCCAGCTTAGATATTTGCTGCAAACATTTGAAAGATAAGAACCTCTACCAGTGATCAAAGACTTGAAATGTGCACTAGTCATCTGTCATGAGTCAATAAACCGTGATGCCCAGATCGTGTCATTCAGCCTCTAAGAATGGTTTAGTATTTTAGTGCAGCTGCCAGAAGGAAATTCAATGCTAGATTCTATGCTAGAATCAAAGAGATGGGGTCTTAATATAAAATCTACCACCTTAGCAACTTATTTTGATGCCGTTTAATACTGTGACCTTGAGATGCGCGCATTGTCAAACAGCAATTTCCATTTTGTCAGGTGTCGGCATAATGCTTTACAGTTTCAGTTCTGTATGAATTCTAGTGTTACAGGCTCCTGCCTGTGTTCTAACAACTTGATCTGTGATATTTATTCATAAGAGCTGTATATGAAAATTGCATGAAATTGTGTGAAACTATGCCAATTTTGTCATTGTTCTTCTGGCTATTAGCTGCTGTGATAGTCTCAGAGACTAATAGGCTTGTATTTGTGTTTTATAAGACATTCAAAATGTTGATAATGGATCTTGAGAAATACTTTAAAAATGGGAAAATCTAGAGATTAAAACTCATGTTTCAAAGCTGATGTATGCAAAACTTATCAGAATCATAGATTTACAGAATGCTTTGCCTTGGAAGGGAGCTTAAAGATCACGTAGTTCCAATCCTCCTCCGTTGGACAGGGACACCTCCAACCAGGTTGCTCAAAGCGCTGTCCCACCTGGCCTTGAACACTTCCAGGGATGGGGCATCCACAGCTTCCCTGGGAAACCTGTTCCAATGTCTCATCACCCTCATAATGAGGAATTTCTTCCTAATGTCTGGCTTATATCTCCCCTCTTCCAGTTTGAAGCCATTACCACTTGTTCTGTCACTACGTGTCCTTGTAAAAAGTCCCTTCCCAGCTTTCCTGTAGCCCCTTCAGGTCCTGGAAGGCCACTTAAAGGTCTCACCAGAGCCTTCTCCAGGATGAACAGCTCCAACTCTCAGCCTGTGTTGTTATGAGAACTGCTCCAGCCCTCGGATCGTCTTTGTGATACTAACTTTGAAGTTAGTATCACAAAGAACATAAATTTCATCATCTAGTTTGTGTACATTACAGCTGTAAACAAACTGAAAGAAACTGAAATTTTAGAGCTTTTTAATTTAGAGCTGGCTTTCTGAGCATACATAGTATTTGAACAGGGTTATCTCTGTGATTCCTTGGGTGTATGCATGTACTGGATGTGTGTAGTGCATGTGTCCAAAGATGAGACTTTCCTAATATTTCTTTAGAAGCTTCAACAGTATACAGATTAGTAACAGAGCAGGGCAGTTTAAAGGGTAAGTAAATAAAAAGCAGCCTAGCTGAAAACGAGAAAACACAGCTGTAAACACAGTAAAAATGTTAATTTACAGATCTCAGTGATGGAGATTGTGCTTTTCTGATGCATATAAATAATAGAATAATTTTACTTAAAAATTGGAAATTGAAAGCTGGGATCTTGCCTCTGCATGGAAAAAATGTTTGGGTATCTCCCCAGAAGGCCCTGTTTAAACTACAATATACTGAAGTAACAGAAAAATTATCCTGATTTTGCAGTTTGTCCTTTTCAGCTGTGTAGTCCTTACACGATTGCTTAAATGCTGAATAATTTAGTACTTCATTTTTACTAAATCCTCCAGAGGGGCACTGTGTGTCTAAGTAGCCAGACTGATTGATAATGATCTCGGTGATGTCTTTAAAACAAAGCAAACAAAAAGAAAAAAAAAAAAAAACAAACTTTTGAAGATATTTTATTTAGTAGAGCTGAAATGCAGTATTTTCTTGCCAGCTTTTACATTCTGAAAGTGTCTTTTCTCTTATGTTCTTTTTCCATAGCTTTTGGCTATTGTGTGTCTCCATATTTTAGCAAGTTTATTTTTTTTAAGTCTTTTGCTTTTTCTAATGTGTTTAGCAAAAGAACACAGGTTTAAATGGGCCCCACCTCTGCTGTGGGCTGTGCTAACTACAGAACCCCCAAACATGCCTGAAATTGAGCTGCTTAACCTCCTTGTAATCTTCTTTAGGGTTTCAACAGGGAATAAGATTTCAGAAAAGTTAGAGCAGCCAAAGTTTGTGCAAAATGTAGCATCTGCAATGACAACATGAAACGGTGTTTAACATCAAGGTTAGATAAAAAGAACAGAGTTATAATTTTATTCTTTGTTTACTTTCAGCATCCCTTCTCAGCTGCTCAGCAGAACCCAAGGCAATTTGATGTAGCCTAAGATAACCAGTCAGCTTTAATTTATTTTTAATTGTTTCTCTTCAATCATCTGCTTTATCATTTGATTTTCATATGCTGCAGGAGCATAGCTGAGAGCAGTCAGCTAATGCCTGTGGTAGCTGTGTGCATCCTCTCATCCTCTCTCTGTAATGGGATATCCTGGGACCACTTGCTATAAAAGCAGCAATCGGATGAGAACCTGATGTCCTCC